AGCCAGCATACCCAAATTCTGGGAGTTGAAGTCCACACATCTGAAAATTGCCAAGGTTGAGAAACAGTGGTCTAGAGTTCCAGACATCTGAAAATGGCCAAGGTTGAGAAACAGTGGTCTAGAAACAGGTCATCACAACTGTTTAACAAATAGTTAAAAAGCTCAAACATCGCATTAGAAAAAATAATCTAGAGCAATAGAGAATAACCTGCCACCGATGGTATTCAAGAGCAGATAAATAAATCAATGAAATAAGACAATAAATACATTTAGGGAAGTTTTTCTCAGCCTGGCACTTTCAAACATGTGATGCCGGTAACTCCCAAAATTCCCAGCCAGCAGCACCGCTGGCTGGAAATTCTCGGAACTGCAGTGCCAATGCATAGAAGGTGCTTCAGTGCCAAAAGCAGGGGAATCTTTTCCCTATTCTAATTCTTTACACTAAATGACCTCTCCCTTGTCAATTTTGTTTAGGTATTGCACATGGCAAGAGGAGCATTAACACCAACTTTGCATGAGAAGAGGACAGTTAATGACACCACATAAATGAGTAATAAATTCTGGCTGTTCTTGGCTTTTCTGCTCTTTATTATTCTGTGGCACATAATCCTAGGAGCACTGCCAACGTCCATTAAATGTGATTGCATTTCCAGCTGTTTCAGCTTCCTAAGGGATGTTGCAATCAGATCTGTGCAGATAAATAACATTATATTTAAATAGTAAAAAAAAAATTGAAGAATTTTAAACGACGTATTGGGAAGTAAAGTTAAGTTTATTTCGTCTGATTAACTCTACTGACTATCTCAGAAGCAGGCTTCTTCACTTCAAAACTGGATGTACATGTGATATACTTGCTTGTCCTTGGTTCACACCCATCTCCCATTTCAAATTACATCCATCCACATCTGGGGTTGCAACAATATACTTGACCAGCACACTTTTTCTACAGTTCTTTTAGTGGAGAGTTCAGGGCAATAGTTTCACAAAACAATAATGTTTTAGGCAGGCTAATCTCTCCTGCTTGGCTTCTCCTCCTACTGGTGAAAAAAAGCTGTAATAGTGATGGGCAACGTGGGCTCTCAGAGCCTTTCTCCCTATTTTTAAGGTCACCAACACCTTTTCACCCCAGTTGCTGAAGTCAGCTGCATGGTTTCCTAGCCTCTCATAGCAGAAAACATGTAAGATTATTATGTGCATGCCCTAAAACATTCTTAGCACCTTTTTAAAAACAAGGAAAAACTTAGGAATAACAATTCAGACCTGCTTGTGTGTATGACATGAACTTTCTCACATATGCATCACTGACCCGGTCCACCTCCCAATGTTAAATATACTCCCCCCAACTATTACAACTATTCTCTACTTCTAAGCTAAGCCAAGCAGAAAATAATCTGCAAACAAACACCCAACACCTCATCTGAACTAAGACTCAGGCTTAATCAGTCCTAAGCAAGCCAAATTTCAAGAACTGATAATAAACCCTAGTTTGAGACTATAGCTTCTGAAATAAAGCAGAGTGTATAGTCTTTCTATAATATTGATTCTCCCAAAAATCATTCAAAACTCTGGCAATCAGGACACTCACATCTAGACTGGATCATGAGAGATAAATTAAATTAACTAAAGGTTCTGTTAACTCATTCAAAACCACTGAATACACGTTCCTAACATTGGGATCCCTGGGAGAGTTTACTCATCTTTTCCAAAATCTGAAGGTGACAGATAGTTCAGTTCATAATATCAGAGAAATAATTTCTAAATTAAGAGTCACTAATTATGAGCAATCTTATTTCTCACTGCCCTATGGAATATGTGTGTGTGCCCCTTCAAGTCGGTGTTGACTCCTGGTGACTGCCTGGACAAGACCCTGCAGTTTTCTTGGCAGGTTTTTCAGAAGTGGCTTGCCATTGCCTCCTTCCCATGGCTGAGAAAGAGGGACTCTCCCTAGCTCACCCAGCTGGCTTTGTGCCTCAGGCAGGACTAGAACTCACAGTTTCCCAGTTGCTAGCCTGGTGCCTTAACCCCTACACCAAACTGGCTCTTTTATGGAATACAGAAGTTTGCATAAAGATAAAGTCTCCTGCAAGTTGAGCTCTGTTCCTGATGTCTATATGGGGATGTGTGTCTTGATTTCTTAGCAGCAGTATTGAAGGAACTTATATCACCATCTTCTGTGAGATTTTCAGATGTTCCTGCCTAGCCTGGACTCCTGGTGATTTCCTATCCAAGAATTAAGTAGGTCCATTTGGGGATCAGCTGAGGCTGACCAAGGGCTGCCATCTAACTGTACATTCCATAATTGATTAATAAAGTTAAAAAAACACTTACCTTCATGCCAGGTATGCCAGGAAAACCCGGTGAACCAGCTATACCGAGAGGACCCTACAAAGAAGAGATGTTGAGCATCAGTGAGCAAATTTTCTAAGTAGTCTTGCAAGAGCATGAATTGAAACAGGTGCTCAGCATGGAAGGGAGCTTGAAGGGTACACAGAATAAAATATTCAGTTTCATGCATACCTTTCTTGTGGAAAAGATGTGGTGAGATTTTGACTATCATTGTATTAATGATATTTAGCAATGCAATGGGACTTGCATATTGTTTCATGCCAAGAAATGTTCTGTGCATGGAATGACTAGCCTCAGGTCAGAAATGGTTAACATTTTCAGTGGATTCTTTTTTCGCATTTCCTTATGAATGGAGATAGAAGACTTTTTATGTTTTTAATTTGGCACAAAGTGAAACTGGCAGATTTCTCAGCTAAGGGTTCAACTCCATGAATCTGTGCATTCAATCATATGTGCAGCATTGGATCAGGACTGTCACCTGGTTTTGCCAGACTCATTCCTTGTCTTTTAAAAACCAGACACATGGCAAGAAGTAGCTTGACTCCTTTCCATGCTGGGAACTACTGCAGCTTCCAAATTTGGATGGTATAGAAATTTATACCAATTTATTTATGAGTAGAACAAATGTGATAATTAAAAAAAAATGTTTGGAAGAGAGTGAAAATGGCAGATTTATCTACCCTGACCCTGATCTCTCCTCCAGAGCAGCAAATGACAACTTAGATTTTGAAAATTAATGCCTTCAGCTTCACTTTAACAAATAGTCACTTCTGTGGAAAATAATAATAATAAAAGTGAAGGCCATATAACCTGACTAATCTCAAGACAGAGAAAGCTCAAAAGGCACAATATTATAATGCAAAGTTTCAAAGAACTAAGAAAGCATTAGATGAATGTGTTAGTCTGAGTATTAAGAGAAAAAAATCCTGAAGGGGAAATTTCACAACATTCTACATAGTGCCATCACATTGTTTGATACTGTAAAGCTGTTTTGTTTTTGTTTTTTCCGTTTAACCAAGAGCTGGTGCAGGAATGGTATATTGGGATTTTGCTTTGAGGAGCTTTAACCCTTGGCCACACCATGTTTTTCAGCAGCACTGAGAAAGGGATGTGTGTGCTCTCTGCAAATGGCAGAAAGTCTATGTTGCTGCCAAAGAATTCCTCTATGGGGCTACCAGGAAAAGGGAGGATCCCAATCTGGACCATGGCAGTGCAAATGGTTAAGTCTCCCTTCCCTATGATAAAGCCCTGATCCAATCTTGCTCCTCCACCTTTCATGCCGGTTAATGGTTTAAAGATCAGACATATTACATCCAATTTAGCCCAAGTAGTTTTTTTTCTTTTGTTGTGCTAATTCTGATCCACTTTAGACAAAATGCTTTTAGCAGCAACAGAGCAACACACTAATATGTTTGTCATCCACTCTAATAAGATACTTTAATGGAGCTCTACTACTACTGCTTAGTAAACTATAACAATTAAGCCCAGTGGCCAGTGCTTGAAGTGTAGGATCTTCAAAGCTAGGAGCTACTGTAGGTCAGCTGAGAGATCTATCAGTTTCACTTTGTCCCACATTTAAAAAAAAAAACTTCTACATCCATTCCAAAAGAAATGTGAAAAAAGAATTCAGTGAAAATGTTACCCATTTCTGACCCTAGGCTAGTCATATACCCCCTACACAAGATAAAAGGAGACAGGATTGGACTGACCATTCTCCTGAAGTGTTTCACTTCATCTAAATAGACTTAGTGACTGTGAATTTCATAGCACTTGAATGTCAGTGCAAATCAAGTTACCAAAAGGCTGAATAAATCCTTAATACTGTTCAATACTTGTAAAGCAGCTAAAGTTCCATCCAAAGATCAGAGCAGACGTATAACAGGAAATGTCACATTCTATGTTCTGTTGAATGAAGAGTCACACATCAAAATCATTAGTATCACTGCATTTCACTTTGAAGACAATGTAGCCCATGGACATGGACAACAATCAAACATGTACCTCATGCTAGTCAGTTTTAACTTAAATATAAATGTTGGACAAAGTCTGTGTCACTATTAATTTCTTCTCCAGAAAAGAAGAATATCCTTATGAGCGATGGGTAGTCCTATGTAGTTCCATAGGACCAGTCTTCAGTAAAAAGATTTCTGTTTGGGTTATGTAATGCTTTTTGTGTGTTTGGCTATATTGAATAGATAGATCTTTGGGCAGTGGTGTGCAGCAATCAGAAACATGTCCAAACCCTTTCAAATGTTCACTCGTCCCCTGTGATTTCTTTTTCTTTTCCTTGGCTGGCTGGGCCCTTCTTGAAGAACAAGATGCATATTCCACTATAAAAAATTGTCCAGGATAAAGGATGTGTCTCCTGGCAATCTCAATAAGAAAAATGATCTGTTCCAGAAATGATTAACTATGGAGAAATCACTTGGTTTCTGGCCTTGTATTGAATTTTATTCAAAGCAACCCTGCAGAAACTCATCATCTTGCATGTTATTGCATGTTATTATTTGAGTCTTCCTTTAGAAAGCTGGAGACAAAAGAACACAATCCACACACAAAGGTGGTTCCAGATACACACAAGATTTGGAGGAATAACAACAACAATATCTCTAAAGGGAAATGAAAAAAACAAAAACAAAAAGAACACAGGAAATTTAGATGACTAGGTACCAACTTACACACTAGATAAAATATTGCATATTAGTTTAATCCTGCAGCTGGTAGATAGGATGGGTGTCCTAATCTAGATCAAGAACACCTTGCCAGAGAAGGGAGGTTTAAAATATTCACCTTCATTCTTCTACTGAAATTTACACACTCAGAAGAATACGTTTTGAAGCAAGGCCAAAGGTAGGTCTGACTTGCTAATGTTTGGTTTTATGTTTCAGCCACCTGAATCATATATTCAGGTAACACTCACATTCATGCCAGGGATAGGCTGCAATGTTTGATTGTGGAGCTGCCTTTTATATATCAACAGTGAAGTCAGTTCTTCACCTGTCAATGTTATCATGGCCAAAATATCACTATCTGAGCACAAAAGAGAAATGCAGTAGATGTAGGACAATATTTTTCAATCTTGGCAACTTGAAGATGTGTACCCCACACATCTTCAGGTTGTCAAGGTTGAGAAACACTGATCTAGGGAAACTCCAGGATTTGCAGTAGTTTACCAAAAAGACAATTTTAGGGGGAAAATTCCTTAGGAACTTTAAGAAAAAGGTTTGGACATGCTCAATAGCCACTGGATTTGCTGTAGGGAAAAGATCAGGAAATGGGAAGAAGATGGAATGGACAAAAGCCACAGGGAATCAAACAAATACTTCTGACTATAATGTTCTGTTCCCTTATGTTGAATCCTCAAATTACCTTTTGCCTCAGATTTCCCAATCATTCTCTTATTTTAAGAGTAATTCAGGCATTAACGTAAACTTTCTTCTACTGGCATTCTTGGTCAGTCACAATACGACTCACTCTGGCCAACACATGTAGCTTTTCCTGATGTGGGAATGTATGCCATGTTTCCACCCACTGATTGTCAGGCTGATTCTGCTTCAGCAAGTTCTGGAAGCAGATGGAAGCAGATTTAATTTGGAATTATCTAATGGTAATGGTTATCAGCCATGTATGTATGTGTGCATGTCCATGTATTTTAGTTTTTTATGATGTTTTTTAGTTTACTGTATATTCCCTTTTTGCCATTTAAAAATTCTTTCTTTCAAGAACTATAAAAGCATGCTAGTTGAGTTAACATTACTGATTCATGACCCTGATCAGATCCATTCTGGACATAATCTACAACATATTAACTTGGAGGGAAGGAAGAACTACACTTGGTGATTGCTGAGACAAATGTTAGGGGCTGCTTGGAAGTGCTCCACAAATGGAAAAAATGCAGCTTTTTATCATATTAACTTGTCAAGCCCTCTACTGGTTATCCGAAAATCAATCTGAACTTTATATTACATCTAAAGTAGATCAGGTCCTTAGAATGCACTTATGACTACACTCATAATGCACCCACGTTCACACACAAACATGCACATACAGAAAAGATTTCTTTGGCAATCAGGCTTTTTAGAATCCTCCACTGGCAACAACTGAGGCTTTAAAAAGGCCTTACTATGGTGTGATGAAACAATTTTGGAAAGGGAATTGAGTGCACAGAGAGGCTCATCTATAAAGGCTTAATTGCCTTGTGAGGCCTGATGTCTTTTGAAGAGAGATTTCAGTCCATGAGAAGGGATGGTCCTTTCTTCCCTAGGGATGCGTTCTTCCCCAACCCTCTCCCTGCACACAGCAATTACGCTTTTAAAAGATGCCCACTGCTGCCAATAAAAACTTCTTAAAAGCCTAGTTGTTATAGACAACTAGACAGCTGTGGGCCAGATGGAAATGGCCCTCAGTGCTACATCTGGTCCATGAACAGGAGGATTCGTCTAGAGTGAAGAAGTTAGTTAGGGTAAAGTAAATATATTCTACTAAACATTTCTTCTCCATCAGGAAGAAGTGACAGTATGTGTGAGTTGAGCTTGTTTAAATCCATCCAGGAAGCACCTAGCGGACAGTAAAGCTGGATGTTTCCTCAATCTTAAGCCTCCTACATCTACTGGATAGATGTACTGGCTTTCTGTCAATTACTAAATATGAGAACCTCAAGGATCCTGTCTGATTGGCTACATTCTTTCTCTTTTCTTGTCCCGCCACATCACAAGTAAGTAAATAAATAAATGATAAAACCAGGCTGAACGAATATGTTCTTATGGTTTTTGGTCCTGAATTTGGCTGATTGACTGTTCCTGATGCCCGCAGAGGTGTCCCCTGCACTGATGTACATAAGATGCTGTTCCTGCAGATAGTGACCACACTTAGAAATTGTTCTGCCATAAATTTAGTTAGCAGCTTGTTCATTTTCTTGTTTATGCAAGAAACAAGTTAGTTCCTTAGCTCTCCTTCTCTCTTATTCTGCATTTCTGAACAAAAATTTAAATTTAAAATTTTGTAGTTATTTTTTGCAAACTCTAGTAACTGTTTTGCCCTCATACCTAATCTCCATTACCCTTACAAAAGCTTTCAAGAAACATTAAAGGAAATCTGCCATACGTTTCCATATGTTTACACATGGTAGTGGCAATTAGCTTAGGTTCTCCAAAGTGGTCAGTACTAATTCCCAAGGGTTGATGGGACTATCCATTGTTGCTGTTGTTATCTGTGGTACTATTCCTTAAAGTAGTATTTATTAAATTATTCTCATATAATAAATGTTTGGGAGTTGATAAACATTTGAAATTTCATTAAGAGGTCAATGAGCTGAAGAGTTTGGGGACCCTGGCTTAGGTGATGCTTGGACTCTTGAACCTTGCCAAAAAGATATGTCTGTTTTATATAAAATAAAATACTCAGAAGCTAATCATGTCCTAGTATAGGTGCAAAAGCAAACACCCTGAGTTTGTCTCTAACCTATGTAATGAGGCTAGAGGCAAGAAACAGTGAACTAAGTCAGAGAGTAATCCTATGTCATTGGCAAACTGAATATCCTTTGCACTCATACCTAGAGATAAACTCCAGCTCTCTGTGGCTGGCAAGCAAGCAAGCAAGCAAGCCAGGCAGGCAGGGAGGCAGGGAGGCAGGCAGGCAGGGACTATTTTATCTCGTCCCCCCTAAGATAGTTTGGACTGGGAGAGAGTGACTGGCCCAATGTCACCCAGTAAATACTGTAGTGGGGACCAAAATCCAGGTTTTGCAGTCTAAGACGAATATTACACTGTTTTGTTCAGAGCATAGTTCTGTAAAACATCTTAGTAAACTACCTGATGCTACAAATTGCAAATCTGCCAAATCCATTTTAAAAAAATGAGGATTCCAGAGAGATACTTACTGGTGGCCCTGGCTTCCCAGGCATACCATGTGAACCACGAGCCCCCTAAGAAAAAACAGAATAAGGTTACAGGATGGAAATCTGATTATATGACCATGATTTCCAAAGTGATACTGGTTGCTACTAGGGATATCAAAGAATCTGCCACCAGTTTCTATTAGGAACAGACAGGCTCCATCACAGAATGGAAGGCAACATTGAACAAAGTCTGATAGTATCCTTCCTTTGCTGATAAGAAATCTGAACAAACTCCCCCTTCGTTTATGGAAGATGGATCTGAAAAAGATGTTGTTTCCAACCGCTCCACTGCAAATATTTTCTCTATTGTCCATCTATCTTCTCAGCTTTATCCACCTACTCTTGCTATGTATACAGTCTCTCCTGCTACTCTCTCTGCATACAGATACTTCCTCCCATCTGCTGACACCCACTATCCATTTTGTGCATCCCATGGACTGGGAAATTATCCTACTAACATAGACAATGAAATAGAAATTATTCATACTAATAATCACAATCCTAGCCTTTCTTGTGTCAGTTCAAACCTGGCAAATCAAATCTGATTTCAGAGCTCATTTCAGAGAGAAAAAGTGCTGCCTCTCTAATAATTAAACAAATGAGCCATTAAGTATTAACAAGGGACTCATTTTCCAAATATGCTACTGACTCTGTATGGGCTAGAGATATGAAAAGAAAAGTTGTTTCTGATGGACCATAGCCCAGTTCAGAACTGGACAAATCAGAGCCCAAAGAACTGTGTCAGAGGGCATTTCCACACAGACAATTGTGCATTGCTCCACAATCATTTCTATACTCGTGTGAGCTCAAGGTGATGTCTCTGTTCAGCAGCCAAGCTGATATATTTCTGAATGAGCTTTTGCCTGATGTATGTGGGGATGTTTTATGGTATCTCAATCCACAGTAAAACTACTCTGGATTAAATGATAGTAGAAGACTGTAGAGCCTGTGGACAACCACTCTCCTCACATCATGTCCCAGTTCCTAGGTTTTGGTTACCTTAGTGGGTCTTTCAAGGGGAAAAGTGACTTGATGACTTTGCAACTCTACCTTATAGAGATCACAAATGCATGACAGACCAATGCATGCAATATGAAATACAGACATGAATGGAAGGAATTACATGAATTACAAGTTATTCATTTTATTTCTCTTCTGTGTAGATAGGGGGTGAGGAGAGAGGGGATTTTCATTACTCCAACTGCAATAGTTTAAGATTGGTGGTGGTGTTCTTTTCTCCCTGTTCTATATTTTTCAAAGGCAGAAGTGAAGACATTCATAGATTGCCTTTTGATACAGCAGGGAGTGAAAATAACAACCCTGTGGAAGTCAAAATAGACATGGCCTAAGATGGTACCCTAATACTTTCTTCTTAAATAATGTTCAGAAAATAACAGGGGATGACTTTTGTGTGCCAAGTTATTTCCAAGGAAATGTGTTCAGAACTTCAGTCTTCCTTCCTGAAGCAGTTGAATTGGGAAATTGTTTCTCATGACAAGATTCCCTTGAAGGCTTCTGTAAGACAATGCCTACATACAGAACAGTAGAAAAACAGAGTGATATTGACTCCAGTTTTATGTGTATGTACATCTATGAGAGAGTATGTGTGCATGTGTAACTCAAGACAGATTACGACGTCTTCTTACGAGGAAGACTGAAGTTCTGAACACATTTCCTTGGAAATAACTTGGCACAGGAAAGTTATCTCCTGTTATTTTCTGAATATTTTTTAAGGAGAAAGTATTGGTTTTAAACAGAACAGTAGCAGTTTTCTTCTTCAATGAGCTTCAGATTATTTTCAGCTGTCTTTAACATATAGGTCTGCACTGATAACTGCTGTTCTCAATCTACATGGTGGGTCTAGAAAGCCACTGGAAACTTCCCATGCTTTTTAATTGCTTTCTAGTGCAATTGGCCAAAACCAAGTCTTTTAGCCTTTCACTAGAGGTCATGTTTAAACCAAAAAGCAAGCAAAGAGACATTTAAATACAGATGATTTAACAAACTAGTTCAACAGTTATATTGGCTCTGTCTCGGTTATTGCACTTACTGGAGCACCCTGTGGTCCAAGTCGTCCTCTTTCTCCTGCCATCCCTCGGGGACCCTGCAGTCAACAACACCAAAAGAAAAAGACATTAGTCCAAAGCTAAACAGGAAGTGGAAATCATCTGCTTGTAATTCTCCCCAATTCTAGCTATGATTGACTGATTATTTCTTTTATCCATCCCAAAACAAATATTATCTGGGCAATCAACATAAAAAGAATAAAAGTTCAGTAAATCTTAAGTAAATCTTAAGTAAACACACAGACACACCCAAACTGTATAGGAAATGGAATATAAAATATCCTTCAAATCAGATATAACCCTTTTCTTTCTCTTTCTTTCTTTCTTTCTTTCTTTCTTTCTTTCTTTCTTTCTTTCTTTCTTTCTTTCTTTCTTTCTTTCTTTCTTTCCTTCCTCCTCTCT